CTAGGCACTGGAAATATATAAACAAAGATAGAAGTCTCAGTTCTTGGGCTGGACTATATATTGTAGTGAGGGATAAATAAATATTAAAGTAAGTAAAATAGATAATATGCTAGACATTGCTAAGGGTTAAAAACAAATTAGGGAAAGGAGTATAGGGAATTTTATGGGGAGTGGTGAGGAAAGCTTGGTTCAAATATATAGAGAGTGGCCAAGGAAGACTTTACTGAGAAGGGTGAGTAACATTTGTGTAAAAATGATTTATGTTATGAATAAGGCATTATATTTTAGTTTTTATGTTCAGATCTTAAATCTTGAGGAGTATTAAAGTAGAATGAATTTATCTTCTTGATTCAGTTCTTATGCTATACTATGTAAGATCTTGTACTTTCTGCTTTGGTGAATGTATCAAAATGTGTGTCAGTAACAGTTAAAAACGTAGGAATTATCAGTGCTTCCTTCACTTATTCAAACAGATCTTTATTTTCCCCCTACCCCCTAACCAGGTCTAGCTTTGACTTTACAGATCTTTATTCTTGGTTTTATTTCATTCTTTTCATCTCTGCCTTTCCCGTATCTTGCCCGTGTTACTGCAAATAAGCTTCCTCATTATTTTCATTGCTCAGTTTTACTTAGCTCCTTCTAGCTACCATAAGGAAGCTTCTAAAGCTTGGGTCTAATATTCCTTTAGTATTCCCCAATAATTTGCTAAAGATAATTTCATCTCTTTATCTCAACATAGAAAATATTTATAATCTGGCCCTTATGTCCTTTGTCTTTAATCTATCTTTTTCTCAAAGGCAATCATTTTCATGTGTTTGCCTTACTGAGTTACTCCTAGTTCATCAGAAGCAACATGCATTGAACTTAAGACAGTGCACTCCCCTCTTTTACATTAATAAATATGGAACTATAAAGAATAGTATTTTTTTTTTGAGACAGAGTCTCGCTTTGTTGCCCAGGCTAGAGTGAGTGCCATGGCGTCAGCCTAGCTCACAGCAACCTCAAACTCCTGGGCTCAAGCTTATGATTAGGGCCGGGCCGGTGGCTCACGCCTGTAATCCTAGCTCTCTGGGAGCCGAGGCGGGCGGATTGCTCGAGGTCGGAGTTCGAAACCAGCCTGAGCAAGAGCGAGACCCGTCTCTACTATAAATAGAAAGAAACTAATTGGCCAACTAATATATATAGAAAAATTAGCCGGGCATGGTGGCGCATGCCTGTAGTCCCAGCTACTTGGGAGGCTAGAAGAAGGATCGCTTGAGCCCAGGAGTTTGAGGTTGCTGTGAGCTAGGCTGACGCCACGGCACTCACTCTAGCCTGGCAACAAAGCGAGACTCTGTCTCAAAAAAAATAAATAAATAAAATAAAAATAATTATATTAGTATATTGTTATGAGAATTATATTTTCCATGAATCATTAAGTTTTTAGAGCTGTTTTTATGTTAAGACAGTGAAATATGACATTTTCCTTTTTACTGAGACCGACATTAATGCATACTTGTTGGAGGTGGGGTTCTGCATTTCCCTTTAGGTTTAATGCAGGCACATTCATGAATAGTCCCCTTAGTTATTAACTAGTTACATCCTGCCTTCTTCTTCTCCACTATTCCTTAGACAGAGATTCAAACTATAATCCATAGGACAAATTCAGGCCTGCCACATGTTTTTATATTGCCTGTGAGCTAAGAATGGTTTTTATATTTTTAAATGGCTGGAAAAAAATCAAAAATAATAATTTTGTGAAACATAAGAAGTATATAAAGTTAAAATTTCAGTATCTGTAAATTAAGTTTTATGGAACATGCCAAATCATTCCCACGATATTAATTTACTTATTCTAGGCTCATAAAACTACTGGGCCAGTGTAATTTTAGCACTATTATCTTCCACTCAGATGTTCTTTTCTTCATGTATGTATTTTAAATTTTCAGTCTAACTTTGATAATGTTAGTTATTTGCTCTCTTTTATTAGTTTGGAAATTCTTTCACTTTATTTCATTGTGAGCCAAAACAATTATATCAGAAAAAGCTGAGTTATATTTGTCTTTCTACATTAAGGAAAGGAGAACATACACTTAGAAGCAAAATCAAAATAAAGTGTCAAAATTTCTAAGACCCTTGGAAATAACTAGAATTCTCTTTAAATATATATTTGTGAACCACTTTATTTAGCACCTGTGGTGTTCCTATTGAAATGTGTTTAAGTTCCAAATAATTCCTTTCATACATGAACATTTTGAATACAACTTACTTTTAGTTTTAAATCTTGGTTCTTGATATTTTTTTTTATGACTGAGTCATTTCAGTAATTTAGAAAGTTGCTTAACTTGACTGTACCCCAATTTCCTTCAGTTAAGGGTGTATCCCAAATAAAAGTTTTCAACTCTGTTTTTATGAGGTTATGATTCACCTGTGTACACCTTATATAATGTTTCTCAATATCTGGAATGTGCTTTTAGTATTGTAGGAACCCAGTTGAAGTCAGAAGTGAATATTTAATAATACATTTAATATGTCTCTTTAAAAGTTTAAATATTCAAGGTGGTTCTGCCTTGAGTAAAATGGTATCTGGCATATGCTAATACTTTTTTGAGCTGGGAGACATCTAAGAAAGGGCCTAATGGTGGCCTGTCCTAGAGTATAATGCTTCTAGTCTGAGCTAATGATAACTGGAGAATGTTGTTAGAGAAGAAGTTGTAATTTTAGAAACTGAGTGAAAGAGTGAAGATCTAAGTCATCGTTTTAAAGTGAAAATTGTTTTAAGTAAGAATAGAAGAGTTGAAGAAAGAAGTTAAATATGAGTAAGGGTTGGAGGAAACAAGCTTGCAAGAATACAAGAACAAGGAACAGATGACTAGATGTGAAATAAAGAAAAAAATCAGTGAACAGAAAATGGATATAATGAAAGATGAACAGTTTACTTTAGGATGATAAGGGACCAAATCTATATAACTGGGAGTGAGGCTGATCAGAAATAGTTCAGTTTGATAGATTAGGTGTGTGTTCAGGGTGTGGTTTTAACATAAAGCTAGTGAAAATCAACCTGGAATTCAAACAGAACACAAATTTATTCCCTACAACAGGGCTTAAAAATAAAGAGCACTTAACCTAGGCCCAGGGCAGAGAATCATGATAGACTAACAAGAAAATAGATTGTTCTGCTAGAAGTACTGACAAGAATCAGAACCTGTTGTTTCACCTATCCATTTCTCCTTGAGGAAGCTTGTTATTTGTGAAACAGGGATAATAACATATTTTAGTGTAGGCATAATGAAAAATTCCTTTCAGTTGGAGAGTTGCCATTATTTCTTATAGGAGTTAGCTATAGTAAAACATTCTAGGTTGTGGGGACTTGTATGATCAAGGGCAGAGACATTACTCATGGCAATAAAGTAAATAGCAAAGTTTGTGGAGTCTAAAGACAGATGATACAGTGACATTGAAATAAGAAGATTAATTAGCCCTTCTGACCAAGACTGGTTGAAGAGCCCAATAATAGAATTGAAGTATCATTATTATTGCATTTGGGGATCATTAATGTCCATTTCTGTAGGTGTTTTATTGATTGGTTTTATTTTAATCCATTTTCTGGGTTCTAGTTTTCTGAATTTTTTTTTTAAAAGTATCTGTGATTACTGAGTCTGTAAATCTATAAAGTTCTCTCTAAATTAATAATTGCTTACTTTAAAAGCCTTCTCAATGAATAAACAGTGCATTCTAATAGTTGTTTCTGTGTAATAGTTACTTATATAAAAGATAACTTGCTAAACACTGTTCTGTGCCTGTTTTTCCTGTTGGTCACATCTTAGAATCCACTACCTTAGATGAATTCTAGAAGTGAGATTCTTGTCCCTCATACCCATGAATAAAACCTGTACCTTTAAGAAAGAATAATATTATAGTAAGAAGAGGAGCATATGGCCACTTGTGTGGCTATTAAATATGAGAAAATATTCTAAAGAATGTTCCTAAGTTAGAATACTGGTAATACTAATGAAGAAGGAAGATGGCTTTTCTCAATGATGAGAGAACCACTTGGCAGAAGATTTTCCCAGCCTTTGATTTACAATTACTTATACTAAAAATCAGTCTTGTACTTCACAAAGATTATATTTCCTCTTACAAGAAAAGGGAAACAAATAAAGAACAGGCTGCCGGACTTTTTCAAGAAGACATCATTTTGTGTAATTAGATCAGTGCTCATTCATTTCATTCATTCATTCTCTCAAAGTGATTAGAAATGATTATTTCCTGTGTTGCTTACCTGTAACTTATTTGCTTTATGATGCCTAAAGGTAGAGTTTTATTCTGTGTTATCCTTTTGATACTCTAAATTAGAGCTTCTCAGCCTGTGTGCCAGGAATAGGATAAAGTAGTTGTATAGCCTCATACTGCCTGCCTTATAAATGTTACTTCTCTGTGTGTCCAAGGGAAAAAAGGTTGGAAGCACTGCTCTACATAATTGGCTTTCATACTTTATTGATGATTGAGAAAAATTGAAAGAAACCACCAGGCTTTGGTGTTGTAGCCTAGGAAAATGAAAGTATTACCTTTCTCGCAGACATTTGGGGCTGGAGTTGTCTTTATCAAGAACAGATTCTTAGAGCTTCTTTCTTGATGTCTATAAACTGTATCCTCCATTTTATTCTAAACTTTAAAACCTTAAAGCCTTAATTTAGCTGTTGATTTGTGTAGGTGATTTTTACAGAGAGCTCCACAACCCCTATGATAGAACAGTGCTGCTTCTTTGTGAGAAGAAGACTAATATCTTACAGATATTAGATTGTTATTTGACCATTTTTAGTTAATGTATGTGATGTGCAAATTTAAACACTGGATTATACACTTTTAGATTCTTTATAAGTCTCAAATTAATGGTCAGTATATAACATAAAAAGTTTGCTAAATATCTATTTACTGCTAGCCACAGTTTTAATTACCATGGGGATCTAAATCGCTTTTTAAAAAAAAAATGTCTGAAAGGTTTCAGTACACCAGTTTGCCTTTTAATTAATTTAAACAGAACATTTGTCTAAGTGGTTTAGATTCCCAGTTGGTAGAAGAAATAAAAACTGTGGCATCTAAGCTAAGCATGTTTGTTTCAGCATTTTATTTATAATGTATTCCAGAACTGTTAAGAAACTTTGAGATGCCACAATTAAATGTGCTAAAATACAGCAGTAATTTGTCTTAGTACATAAGTACGGCAAAAGTACATACATAGACAAATTTGAGGGTAACCTATATAGTTTGATAATATTTGTCTCTGGAGTTCTTTACAACTTGTTCCATGGCAGTCAGATGTGCTTGAACTACTGAAATGATGAATTGAAATGAGGTCTCTAGTCTTTATGAAGTTAGTCTTCAAAATAAAGGATAATCTATAAAGTTAGTTTGTGGGCTTTGACCTCTTTCAAGTAGGTTACTTTCTGTGGACTGTCATGGAAATAGTAAATACTTTAGTCACCACACATTAACTAATGTGGTCTTTGGTTTCTCAAATAAGACTGACACTAGGCTGTTTTTTGTTTATGGAAAAGCTAATTCCTGATCTTTGCATCTATTTTAGTAATAGTTATGCACGAGTGCGAGCTGTGGTGATGACCCGAGATGACTCAAGTGGTGGATGGTTACCACTTGGAGGGAGTGGACTAAGCAGCGTCACTGTCTTCAAAGTCCCTCATCAGGAAGAGAATGGCTGTGCTGACTTTTTCATCCGTGGAGAGCGACTCAGGGACAAAATGGTAATGAATTATGTATCTATTGCTATAATATTAGAATATTTTCTGCAATATGATTCTGCAGAACTAAAATTATACATCTTTCTGCCTTGGGTTGAATTTTATATAAAAGTACAGAACAAGAAATTCCTGCTAAGCTTTTCCACTGTGCCTCTGTGAATTATTCCATTGTGAAACCTCAATCCTTCTATAGAAGTGCTCCTCCACTAAAACCAATTGCCTTAACTAGCTTTTCCTTAGGATTCAGCCTTCCTAGCAGTTTTGTCTCTTGAAAGATACTAGGTTCTTTAAAAAAAAAAGAGAGAGATACTAGGTTCTCTTATTCACTGTAATACCACACAGTTAGAAATAGAGATGGTACAGCATTTTTATTGTTCCTTCTTCCCCTTACAAGTTATTACTCTATCACCCACATACATAAATTCTTTATTGACTCTGTGTCCCATTCAGATCACCATCTTCCAGGTTTCATTTTCAGCTACTGACCTTAGTAGTTCCTTCCATAGTCAGCTTTTCCACATCTGGCCTCATCATCATTCTTGGCTTCTTTTCTTGCAGTCTTGACCTTCTGTTCTTCATTTCAGCAAGCTACTTTCCTGGATCTGGTTGTTACCCAAACTGTTCCATTTGAGGAATTTTATATTTCCTGTCATTATTTTTTATTCTCTTCTTGCTGCTCTTCGATTCCATATCTTCTCTATTACTTTGTGCCCCAATTTTCTAATTTCACTAGATTCCTCTCGCTTCAGTATCTTTTTATTATTTTCTTTTTAATTCAATCTAAATTCTCCTGTCAGTCTCTTAGACCACTCTTTCATTCATTCCAGTAGAGACAGTATGTCTACTGATAGTGATTGTTAAAAAAGAGAATACTTTCCCTTTTAATACTCCCTTTTTAAAGGTGAGTCTTTCATTCATTCATGCAACAATATTGTTGAGCAGCTACTGTGTGCTAGTACTGGCACTGGAAATATATAAACAAAGATAGAAGTCTCAGTTCTTGGGCTGGACTATATATTGTAGTGAGGATAATAAATATTAAAGTATAAAATAGATAATATGCTAGACATTGCTAAGGGTTAAAAACAAATTAGGGAAAGGAGTATAGGGAATTTTATGGGAGTGGTGGGAGAAGCTTGGTTCAAATATATAGAGAGTGGCCAAGGAAGACTTTACTGAGAAGGGTGAGTAACATTTGTGTAAAATGATTTATGTTATGAATAAGGCATTATATTTTAGTTTTTTAGTTCAGATCTTAAATCTTGAGGAGTATTAAAGTAGAATGAATTATCTTCTTGATTCAGTTCTTATGCTATACTATGTAGATCTTGTACTTTCTGCTTTGGTGAATGTATCAAAATGTTGTCAGTAACAGTTAAAAACGTAGGAATTATCATGCTTCCTTCACTTATTCAAACAGATCTTTATTTCCCCCTACCCCTAACCAGGTCTAGCTTTGACTTTACAGATCTTTATTCTTGGTTTATTTCATTCTTTTCATCTCTGCCTTTCCCGTATCTTGCCCGTGTTACTGCAAATAAGCTTCCTCATTATTTTCATTGCTCAGTTTTACTTAGCTCCTTCTAGCTACCATAAGAAGCTTCTAAGCTTGGGTCTAATATTCCTTTAGTATTCCCCAATAATTTGCTAAAGATAATTCATCTCTTTATCTCAACATAGAAAATATTTATAATCTGGCCCTTATGTCCTTTGTCTTTAATCTATCTTTTTCTCAAAGGCAATCATTTTCATGTGTTTGCCTTACTGAGTTACTCCTAGTTCATCAGAAGCAACTGCATTGAACTTAAGACAGTGCACTCCCCTCTTTTACATAAAAATATGGAACTATAAGAATAGTATTTTTTTTTTGAGACAGAGTCTCGCTTTGTTGCCCAGGCTAGAGTGAGTGCCATGGCGTCAGCCTAGCTCACAGCAACCTCAAACTCCTGGGCTCAAGCGATCCTTCTGCCTCAGCCTCCCAAGTAGCTGGGACTACAGGCATGTGCCACCATGTCCGGCTAATTTTTTTTCTATATATATTAGTTGGCCAATTAATTTCTTTCTACTCAAGTAGAGACGGGTCTCGCTCAGGCTGGTTTTGAACTCTGACCTTGAGCAATCCACCGCCTCGGCCTCCCAGAGTGCTAGGATTACAGGCGTGAGCCACCACGCCGGCCCAAGAATAGTGTAATTAAGAGTTTCGT